CAATGCGGGTGGCAGCTGATGTGGTGGCAGGGTGGCTGTACTTCCTTTGCAGTCTCTGGTAGGACTTGTGGTGCAGTGCTCGATGCGAAATGTCCATCGCAGAAAAAATGTCATTTATGGCAGATTGTTTTCTGCCAACTGACTGCACAGCCCTCAAAGCACGCACGTTTACCTCAAAGGGGTTCGTTTTTTGTTGCCCGGAGCACCTCGGGGACGACCACGCACTGTTCACTCTGCCACAATTGTCACAAAAAAGTTCCATCCTCGCTGCGAGTCCAAGGCAGTGCGTAGTCTCGAGGCGTATCGACCCTTCGTCACACTTGTTGCACTTTACTGACGAAAGCAGACCGTTCAGCATCTTCTTATTTACAATGAAGAATGTGGAGTCCTTACCGCCGTCATTTTCGTCGCAGCCTTCGTTCAGAAGCTCGAGCTTCCGCTTTGAAGCGGACTTCGATGCTACGGCATCCAAAACATCCCGCCTTGTCTGCGCCCGCTGCGCGATTTCTTCACTGCTCGGAATCTGGGCCGAAACTCGCGATAGAATGTTCGACGCGCGCACGCGCCCGGAGTTGCAACGGCTGCCGACGCGGTGCCACCGCAAGCGGGTTTGCGAGAGCGTCCATCACGGTCGACGGCATCCGGCGGTCTGACATACGACGATGTGGCACCTTCCACACTCTCGGCCTCACAACAATCAGCGAAGGGTCTGAGTAGAGGCTCCGTGACGCTTGAAGAGCATGCTCCGTCCGGAACTGCGACTGGGACGGCAGCCGCAGTCGTCTGCCCTTTGTTCCAAGCTTTCCGACGCTTGCCGTACTTGTGGACGCTCCGGAACTTTTTTTGCGGCAACATAGCACCGCAGTATGAGCAAGCACTCAGAAGAGACCACCGATGTAAACAAAGCTTGGTAAAAAAAAGCACGCGAACTATCACAAAAACAGCAAACTGGCAAAAAACGAAGCGCACGCCGGATGATTCTCGACACGGCGGCCGCAGATGCGCTCGCGCTTCCAAGGTTGCCAAGGTGCGCGGCGCAGCTTTGACCAGTAAGAGGTCGCGCCTGCTACCACGTGACCCGCGCAGCCAATTGCCGTTCTTCGTTTTCGTTTTTTTACTTGCTCCTCGCGCTTTTATTTTCACTCGGCGAAATACGACACCGCGACCACCAGGAAGCCGGCTTTCTCCTCTTTCCAAAGCTACCAAAATGGCGGCCCACGGTCAACAACTTGGCGCGTTTGTGCGGCGTGAACAACACCGTTTCAGGGGCTTTTTTTTCGCACTTTTCGGCGACTAGCCTCGGCAAAAACACTATTTGCGGGATTTGTAGCGCACGTTTCGCTGTAATATTTTAGAACAAGGAAGTTGAAGGTCTGAAGATTACGAAAAAAAATAAATCAGAAAATCGCATATTTTGACCAAAATCGGCACTTTACTTGCCGCGCCCCCCCTTAAGAGGCACACATCACAAAGCACACCTACACCTTTTCTACGCATCTCGATTGGATTAGATATGTACAAACAGTTGGTGGCCAATGCAACCTCGATTTCTCGCTAAAATTAGTGCAAATGAAAAAATTGCGAGGCTGGTTGGGGATTTTGGTGTAGCATGGTGCAATGTCAACAAATTTCACATTTTTGAAACTTTCATGTAGACAATTAGGCATGGGTCAGCAATCACTTACTCTGACTCACTCAGACACAGATTGAGCCAATAGTACGGCAAGACTGGGTGAGTAATGTCTGAGCGAGTCAGTTGAAAAAACTTTCACGAGTGTGGGTACGAGTGAGTCTGACTCGGGAAAATCTTAATGAGTGGAAATACAAGTGAGTCCAGAGCACAAAATATATGTCACGAGCGAGTATGACTTCCACAAGTTTTGCCGACGTATGTTAATTAAGTGATTCACACTAAAAGCGTACCGGAGCAGCCAGCATATATAAAAATAAATACCGTATTCACTCGCATAATCGGCGCACTCGCATAATAGGCGCACCCCTAGTTTGGTCGCGGAAAATTCGATTTTTTTTAATTCCGCGCATAATAGGCGCACCCCGAACTTGGCCGTGATCAGAAACGATTCTACCCCTCAGCGGTACAGTTGGAACGCGGTCCCCGTACCCTGAAGAAAAAAAGAAGGCAAATCGACGAGCAAATAAAAAAAATTCGAAGTGCAACGACTTAACCAACGTGTTTGTCGAAACAAAACTTGAAAAAAAAAAAAGCGTCCATGAGCGAAAAAAAAACCGGCTGTTCCATCAATTACTGATACCCCCCAAATCGCCGCGCTTTTTAGAGGTCACGTGTACACCGCCGGGGACTCGATCGCCATCACCACCATCAGAGAAAAAGAAAGAAACGCCATTTTGCAAGCGGAGTGCGTATGTTGTGGGCGTGTATTGAACTTTGGTTCCACCATGGGGAAGTACGCGAGCTACACGGCTGGGTTTAAACTGAAGGCAGTGCAGTGCTCGGCGAGGATGAATGTGTGATCTCCGACTCGGACTCCGAATAGGGAAAAGGAGGAACAGCTACGACTTGTGTAAATAAATTTTACGTGTGTGTGTGCAGTTGACGGCTCTCGCTTGTTCATTAAAAGGTACGTAGGTATGCTTGTTTTATGCTGAATTAATTGGTAAACAATAAAGTCGCCTTTTACTTGACAAGTGTGCAGATTTAAAGCGCGAGAACCGAGTTGAAAAAATTTTCGAAAATTTTACCCCGCGTAATTGGCGCACCCCTAACTTCTAGCATTTTCTGAAAAAAAAGTGCGCCTATTATGCGAGTAAATACGGTAATCTCTAGTAAAGCTACAGATGAGAAGCTGACAGCATTCCACAACTGGTGGTATTTATTTACCGATTTTCTAGCCCTGATGCTAAGCATCTGGTCAGTGCAAGCACATACAGAAGCACATTCAAATAAGCGTCTCATAACATTAAAATTGCTAAAACAAAGTGCCCTCAAGGTAACATGTTCCTAGTGTCATTGCTCTCTTTCTTCCTCATACTCTTTCTACAAGTAGCTTTTCGCCCCACTATGCCTCTCTGCCACAAATTTCACTTTGAGAAGTCACCGTGTCAGCAATGCCTAGTAAGAGGTCTGTTAGAAAAGTATCCGACCTTATTTTTTTCGCAAACACCTGACGGATTCGAAACAAGTGCGCTTGCATCAGCCGACCTTGAGCTTTCGTGCGTATGCGTGAATTTTTTCCCGCCTGACAAGGGCGTCTGTAGCTGGGACGCAGCCTTTGAGTGAGGTAGAGCGCAGAGCTCTCGTTGGTTTTTCATAGCAACGAAAATGACGGAGCAACTGGAGCAGCGCTATTGCATCAAATTTTGCCAAAAACTCAGCAACAGCCAAGTGGAAAACTATTCAGAAGATCAAGACAGCTTTAAGTGACGATGCTATGAGCCACACACAGATTAAGGAGTGGTACAACCGGTTTAAAGACAGCCATACATCGGTGGAGAGCGAGCCCCGCTCCGGTGGGCCATCAACAAGCCGAAATGACCAGGTCATTGTTGAAGTGAACGCTGTGGTGATTCGGGACCGCCGTGTGACTACCCAGGAAAATAACTATGAGGTGGGCATCAGCACTTTCTCTGCACATTCCATTATGACAGGAGATTTGGCTATGAAGAAAGTTGCGGCGAAATTCATGCCGAAACTGCTCACGGTGGAGCAAATGCAACTTTGTGTTGAAGTTTCGCAGGACATGCTGGATTTCACAAGCAGTGACCCTAACTTTGTGAGCACCGTTATCACTGGTGACGAGTCTCGGGTGTATGGGTACGATCCGGAAACCAAATCCCAGTCGTCACAGTCAAGGCGTTCCGCGTCACCAAGACCAAAGAAGGCCCGCGAAGTGTGCAGCAACACCACAGTGATGCTGAGTGCTTTCTTTGACTCCCGCGATGTGGTACACGATGAGCACGCACCACAGGGTCAATCAATCCCTAAAGAGTACTACAGGGATGTCGTCCATCATCTATGTGATGCTGTACGGTGCAAGAGACCTGAGTTGTGGTCAAGAGGAAACTGGCACATCTATCATGACAATGCTCCTGCACATTCCTCACACTTGGTTCAGACATTTTTGGCGAAAAATCAGACTCTTGTAGTTCAGCAGGCTCCTTACTCTCCTGATATGGCCCCCTACTACTTCTGGCTGTTTCCCAAACTCAAGAGGGCATTTCAGAGCGATTTCAGACAAGGGAGGACATTTTGGCTGCAACGACAGCTGAGCTAAACTCCATTCCAAAAAAGGCCTTCTCAGAGTGCTTCCAACAATGGCAGGACCACTGGGAGAAGTGTGTGGAGTCCCAAGGGAAGTACTTTGAGGAAGATTAGGTTTCCAACGCTCCAATTATGCCATTTTATTTCTTCCACCAAAGGTCAGATTCTTTTCCAACAGACCTCATGTGATACACGGCCAAAAATGCACATTTGTCTCATTCATCCAAGATAAATAGCAATTTCCAGATCTAAGAAAACGTCATCAAATTAAAAACCTACAAGGAAAACCTAATTTAAGCCCACTTTTACTTTTCAAAACGTCCACAGTCCCACAGTCACTAGAAGATGCCACTGGGATTCCGTTTCCGTAATCAGCCTGGTGTCTATGCTGTGTACAACACTTCGGCAACTTAGCTATGCACAACACACCCTGTTTCACCCAAGCATGATCCCTTCATTCCCAACTACTTCAAAATAAATGTTTTGCCAAGTTGTGCCATTTACATTCAAGTTATTTATGCTGACAATGTCTTACCCTTTTGCACTGTTACCGCAACACTGAACTTCCTCTATGAACCACTCCATATTAAAGGAAAAATGGGAGTTGTACACAGCAGATAAAATTTAAGTAAAGAAAAAGCTATGTAACTTCGGTAAAACTGAAGAAATGCTATGTACCAAAACACAAATTATTGTGAAAAAAAAAAATGTCCAAACAGAAATATGAAAGGATAAAAAAATATGTCGAGAAACAGCTCACCGTCAACATGGACACAAGTATACGCTGGAAGTCACCAGACGTTTCACTGACCACAGCCTTCTCAAGATCTTTGCCATATTCTGCCAAAAGAAAAACGAAGTTGCATGCTTAGTTAGAAAGCCAAACACTTCAAGCAGTACACATATTGCCATGTATCACTATCACGTCAGTTAAGTAATAAGGAAGCACAAATACAAGTGCATTACTACACACACACTCAAAAAAGGACAAATAACTAGAAAACCCGGCATATACTAATACAAGCATAATTAATTTACGCTACCTTGTTTGTCAAAAAAGCATCTGTGTGCAAAACCCCTTCTGGCATAACGCTGAATACATAGTTGTCAACAGGACAGTTGCCTACATGCACCAGGACTATAACCCGGTCCCTCTTCACGGCATACTAGAAGCAAATATGACTAAGTGTCAGTAAGATGAACAAATCACACAACCATCTGTATTGTTTAGGCTGTATAGGCTGTAAGTTCTTTTCATGAAGAATAAATGTTTCAACTCTGCAAGACAGACTCGGGTATGGGCGATTGCCAAGTCCCCTAGGAAACAATTCATCAATACTTATATTAACATTGAAAACCCATTAGGAGACAGTCACAGCTCACAGAATATAAAAAGGAAGAACATAAAACGGTAGTAGCGGCATCATTGGAGAGATGTACAGCCCAGACCTAATCATCAAGACCGAACTGAGCAGCACGGTCTACCAATGCTTCGCACTAGTAATGCTGCAGGACCGTGTGGCCCCTCTGGGGCCGGCAGGGACACAGGATGAGAGGCAAATTGTGCCTTTTGTTACATAATTTGCAGCTGAATAAGTATTGGCCTGGGAAGTAAGGTACAAGTTTATTTTGTGAGGACAATTTGGGTCAAGGTCTCTCGTGAAATTCTGGATGTTATGAAAAAAAATTGGGGGACCCTTAAGCTTCGCCTTTAAGAGTTGAACACGCTAGTGAAATCCGGCCCCTAGTGCACCCTTCAACCACTAAGTGCATACTTATTCATATGTTTTGTTACATACACACACACGCACACAGTAGATTGGACCAGCGCACGCTATTATCACCGAACGGGCTCGTTTTCGTCGCGAGATCTGTCGAACAAAGTGCGTTGAAGGGGGCCTGAAACACTTTCTCAAGTAATCATGGAATGAATTCACTAGAAGAGCTTATTGCCTCACGAATTCAACGCCGCGAAAATTTTAAGAATCAGTCCAGTGTGAATGGAGTTACAAAGGTTTGTCGCATGCTGCAATTGCATTATCTCTTCTCTAGTCCCGACGAAAGAGCTGGAAGCTAAGCAGGGAGGGGTGGCAGGGCAAAGCAACTACCTCGCCTCGTGACCTTGGGCACTTTTTTTTTCCTTCGAATGCACGGCTTTTTCAGTGTGCTCGCGCGCGCACGCGTACGCAAGTAGTGGCCTCCCGCGGCTATCTCGGTGACTTGATTTTTCCGTCACAGACGATTTTTTGCTCACAACCAACAGAGCCGACGCCGGGTTTCCTGTAACAGGAGCTTTTTAACGTTATCGCGTTAAAATTGGCATATCAAAATGACCTTGAAAGTCCATTTGCAGTGCTGGAAGAACACACTTTACATCAATTAGAGTCAAACGAACAGCATGTCAATGTTTTTATATATTCTAAACTAACACCTGTAACAAATTACCCCTTTGTGAAAAATTTTGCAATATCTCTACAATATTTAAGACCTACTTTTCTCACACACAAAAAAATATGATAGCACATGTAAAGCTCTAATGTCGGCGAACTCACCCATGAGTCAACTCACTCGGACTCACAGAGAGTGGGATCAAGCCACATGTCGAGTGAGCCCGGGCAAGTCCGGCTCGGGAGAATTTTCTTGAGTCTGAGTCCGAGTGAGTCCAAGGCTCAAGATAGTATATTATGCCAGTCAAAATTTTAGAATATGTCAAATACTAGCAAAGTTAATGTCGCTGACCAATTTTCTAGAGCCCCCTGGCGGGGACTGCGAAATAATCTGAAAAATTGAACAGTTCGAAAAAAAAAAAGGTGGAGCCATTAAAATGAAGTTAATTGGGATTAGAAAAGCCTAAAAGAAGTCCCCAATAATGCTATGCTTCATGCTGTTCTTGAGGACGAGCGAATTTGGTTCTAAAGCAGACTCCTATCAAATGAAACCTGAAGGGACTAGGAAAATGTGTTTCCTTTAAGAGGAGTTTCGTTTATTGAGAGATAAAACAGGATTATAATATTGAAGTGCAAAACCAAGCACATTACGGGCAGTTGTTCCATTTAAGCAGCAATTTCGTTTAAGAGAGTTTCGTTTAATAGGAGTCTACTGTATTTATACTACAGTAACATCGCTGGCAAGCGTGTTGGAAATCACTGCCACGGATCGTTGCGGGCGACAAGGTTGGTAGCTCCATGGAACCAAGCAAACAAAACTTGACACCTGCCGCAAAAAGATGCATGCAACGTCTCGCCTGTTTAGTGGGATAACAACACGGTCTGTGCTTTTTTTAGATGCCCTTATCAAAATGCTGCCGTAGCGGCCGAGATCGAACACTCGTGTTCCAGGCCAGTAGTGGAGCACTGTGACCACGGAGTGCTACTAAGCAATCGCAAACAGCAGCAAGCATGTGACACACAAGACGGCTCAAATACACTTAGCACGCAACTAACACGACCACGTGCGCAATGATGACCACAAAAACCAACCACCCAGAAAACGAAAACAACCTGCCAGCGTATTAATGATGATAAGGCTGACTGAAAAAGAAAAATCGCAGTTTTGCGAGCCAAGGAAGATCAGAAAGAGCCTCCAAAACTAAGATTCTGAGAGTTTCCTATCTTGAAGGCCACACAACTAGCCACCGCCAGCAAAACTTGACCAAGCTAACAAAAAATCCAACATGGTGGCTTTCAAAATTAAGCGGTACAATTTAGTCCAGCAAATAAAACTTTGAAACATGAATTCTTTCAAAAAATCGGTCTCCTAAATGCATTAGTGCAACAGGAACCTTTACGGTGCATTTGTGAAGTCCGAAATATCCAAAATGTCCAAATTTTCGGTGTCCGAAAAATCAGTCAATGACTGTACAGGAATTTGTTGCACGCTTTATGCGCTATCTCTCTGCCTTCGTACTACCAAGTGCATTGGAAGCTATGTAGGGAGGGAGATGACAAGGAGGAAAGATGAATCCCTTCATCAGCACGTTTCATGGCCTTGAGCACTTTTTGTCCCTCAAACACAAGGGTCACTTTCAGCGAGACCACGGCGAGCCCGCGTGCGGTCACACGGCAGCATATCGCAGTGGACACATGGACTATGCAGCTCCCAATGCTCATATCAACCCATGGCCATGGGCTTGGGAATTTATGGCACGGCAATTTGGGTTTACGATGTAATTTATCTAGAGAAGGACGCAAAAATTTCTTGCAGACTTGGAGAATGAATAGTGCATTACAGGCCGTGTGCTGCGCCAATTTTCAGCTGACATGTTCTCAGGAGCCTGGCCTACCAATGGGCAGTATTTTCTGGCCATGTTGAAAAGGGGGGCATAAAGCCTCTTTAAAGGTCTTTCGTTCAGTGCTATCCAATTTCCTCTAAAGGACTTAAGGGGGGACGTGGCAAGTAAAACTAATATTTTTATTAATGTACTGTTTGTGATGAAACTTGGTGTGTGTATGTGGATGATTGTGAGGATTCCAAATATGAAAACCGTTTTCAAATACCTCTTGTACTTTTTGAGTTACAAGCATAATTATACTAATTAATGCTCTTCACACTTAAAGAGATAATTATTGCTAAATGAAATTATTTTTTCATATTATTATGTTCCCAAAGCATCAACTTGTGCAAAGAAGCTATTAGTTGATTTTTCTAGTTCTTGTAACCATAAATAAAATTTCCAAAACATGGATGTTGTTTTGCGCACACATCGCAGTAATTATAAAATGTGTTCTAAAAATTTTAAATGATGAGTAAGAAGAGAGATAAAGCTTTATTGCACTGCTAAAGGCCTCCTGAGCCTAGTGCAAAAAACGGAACGACTCTATCAGTCTTTGTTAGAAAATGACAGATGTTCTAGCGAAGGCACATAGGCGAAAATCAAGAGTTGAGAAAACTGACTTTGAAAGTTCACTCTTGTTTGGAAGTTCACAACATGCCTAAAACACTCAGAATCCTCCTGGGCAGTAATCCTGAGATGCTGTGGCCTTGGCCTCTGTAGAGCGCAACCCAGTTTTGCGCTTCTTTGTCGTGGAACAATGCGCCTTTTGAGCCCTCTTTACCCTTTTGGCATCCTTTTCGGCTGCTCGCCGCAAAGAGCAGTCTCCTGGATTGAAGCCCAGTTGAGCAGTGATCTCTTGCAGCGCACTCTTGCAGCCACCATTGAAACGGCAGACTGCATCTGCAACTGCACTTTCCACACTTCGAAGGGAGGCGAACTGGCTCTTGGACTGGAGTGACCAAATGAGGCTGTTCATACTCTCCACAGCGTTCTGGGTTTTTCCCTGCGCACACCTTTCAAGGAGCTCTTTGTTCGAGAGGCGCTTGTAGATTGGCAGCAGTGCCACTCGCACGTGAGGGGGCAGTTTATGTTTGTGAGGCGGCAGCGGCTCTCCCTTGGCCAATGCCTGATTGTGCGGGCACCAGGAGTCAGTCCCACTTGGGCACAGGTCGTGGTGTGGATCCTGGTCTGTGGATGTTACATGGTAATAAGTGGCCATGATGGTTTCTTAATCAACATGTAGCCATACACCTTGTCTTGCGTGAGGGCAAGGTACGTACGGCTGTCACCGTCGCAGAGCACATTGATGTATCGAAGCTTGTACTTGGTAAACGATCTTTCAAACATGATCCTCGCTGCTTCTACTTCCATTTGGCCTGCATTAGCATCGGTGTTCTTTTGGCACTGTGGCTTGTGTTTCTCAAGCCACTCCTCATAGTTGTCGTCACCAGGCTTGGGGCCAACAGCACAGCCTTGGCAGTAGTTGGACAGGACACAGTGGTCCAAGACCAAGCCTGTGTACAACTCGATTACACAGCCCACGCCAATATGACTTCTGTGCCCCCTC